CAGAATCTTTCCAGAGTTCCCCTTTCTTGTAGTTCCAGGAATCAAGCCTGAGACCCTTTCGTAAGGATTTTACTGCTGATCCTCACAAGCAGCTCATTAAGTACTCAGTCTACAGCTGGACTTGTTGGGGACTCCCTCAGACCCCGAGCTTCCTCTTTTATAATCAAGTAGAGCCCCTGAAACATTTCCTTCCCTCCAAGAACCCCTCTGCCCTCCAGCTTTTTAAGACCCTTCATAAGCTCAGGTCCCCTCTTCTAGTGTGCAAGCCATGAGAGGCCTCCACAGTGTCTATTCAGGGTCTCATTCTTGACCTAGTGTCTATGTCTACAAGGTTCCCGGACCCACACAGAAATTGTCCACTCAGAGGAGCACGAGAAAAGCCCCCTACTCTTGCACCTGGATCCACTCCAACAATTTACTCATTTTAAGGGCTGGAATTCTCTCAAAAGTTGATTGCAGAGTTTATACTTTGTCCCTGTAGGTCTGTTGGCCTTACAAACACTCCTTCAAAGGAACCGTATTAGTCACCTTAATGGGCAGATTCTTATCAGACCATTTTCTTCAAAGACTCAAGCCAGGTAATGTTGAGAGAGCTGGGCAGAGCCAGGAGTGGCTGCTGGAATGGAGGATCACAGTGACCAGCACTAAAGTCCTGGGTGTCACCATTTTCCCAGGGCAGCGTGTTCTACAAGGGAAGGCAAGCGCTGTGTCCTTTACTGAAGATTGAAAAACCCGGTCCACCCTGTGATTCTGGTGCCCTCGCCAATCCCAGCCTCAGACTCTGGGAGACCCTTGGCCTCCTTCCCTGTCCCTGGCCATGGTGGCTCAAAGCCCTGGACACCCCGTGTTTATGTCAACAAAGTGGTTTCCAGAGGGGGCAGACTCTTGCCCGCCAGGGGGTGTCTGGTGCCCGTAGCCTGTTGTTTGTGTACCTTGTCTCAGTAGTGACCGAAGGGGCAGGCGCGCCCGAGCTGTCTCTGGGGCAACACTCTGTTGGGGTTCCAGCTGTCCCTGCACATAAAGCACCGACTCCAACCATGCACCCCCAAGGTATCTTCTTTCAGAGTGAGAATTTAAACTTTCCTCTGAGGTTCTATTTTCCATTAGCCTTTTTCCTGGCCTCTCTGCTTCACATCTAGCCAAGGCCCAAGGAACAGGCAGGCCTGACCTCATCCCCTCCCTTTCATCCACCAAGAGAGCCCCTGAATGTTTTCTGAAATAATCATGGAAAAAATGGGACGGGGAGTGGCTGGCTGCAACTATCCAGGGTCTCACCCATCCTTCAGGGACAGGAGCCCACAGAGAAATGCTGGGAGAGTTCTGTTAGCTTTCTCTCCCCACTCACAGTCATGTGGTGTCGCTATCCCTGTATCCCCAACACACACATGTACCCCTCAATATCAAATACTTGCCAGAGACTGCTCTCCCTGCAAGAGCTCCTGTCGGGCCTCTCCAGCTGCTCTGGCTCCTTCTTCCCCTCCTCACTAGCTGGCCTCAGGAATCCTGGTAGGGTAGGGACTGAATGGCAAAGGGGTCAAGAGCATGACACTGGAAACAAATAGCTCTGCTTCACTAGTGGCACGCCGCTTAACCTCTAGGTCTCAGATCCAAGATCTGTAAAATGGGCGTTCTAACAGTACCTACCCCAAACATCCTTGTGAGGAGTGGAGGAATTAAAGTGCAGGTGCTGAGGGTATTGTCCGACCAGCAGCCAAGACTGTGTTAATGTCAGTTCACTGCTCTCCTTGTTACTGAGGTCCAGGCAGCATAAGATGCAGGAGGGAAAGGCTAGGTTTAAACTCCAGCACATCACTGAGCTCCTGTGTGACCTTGAACAAAATACCTCACTGCCCAGTTTCCTCCTGTGCAGGAGGACATTGATAGAACCTTCCCCAACAGGGGTAGGGGTAAGGGACAGGGCACCCAGCCCCCCAAAGCGTGTAGTAGCAGCTGCAGGAGGAGGAGCCAGGATCTTGGCACCTGATCCCCCAGATTAGCTGTTGTAACTCTGGGGCCAGTGGGGGGAACTGGTCTGACTTGGAAAGGAGAGCCAGGAATTCAGGTCTACAGGAGGAGCCATAAATAGCCAGAGCAGGTCAAAGGGCCTCCAGGGATGCCGGGGGACATGACACGAGGTGCTGTGGGAAAGGAAGCTGTCAGTCATCAGCCTCAAGGCACTCTCCCACAAGTTAAAGGAAAACTATCCAGGGCTATGGTGGGGGCAAGGGATCATCTCTTCAGGGAGAACAGTCAGGGACTCCCTCTGCGCCCTCTCCCAGGGTCTCTCAGAGCTATTAGGAGAGTCAGAAAGCTCACCACCACTTACCTGTGCTCTGTGGTCTTTGCCATCCCCCCAACCTTGTCCTTCACTTTGATTCCTTTGACCATCCTGGAGGAGATAGCAGCAGTTAGCCCGTGTCATGGGAGGAAAACTGAGGCCCAGAGATGCAATTTAGCCAAGATCACACGAATCAGAGGCTGAGATAGGATTGTGAACACAAACTGTTTTTCCTCCTAATCCAGGGTATACATGAAAGCCAAAATATAAGAACCTGGGCTGGGTTATAGCTCAGTTGGTGGAGTGCTTGCCTTGCGTGCACAAGGCCCTGGGTTTGATCCCCCACACACACACAAAAAAAGTAAGAATCTGCCCTCAGGAACAACCCCATCCCTACCAGGAAGAGTGAACTGACAGGAGTCTTCCTGTCAGAGAGTTTTCCTTGTCCTTAGTTGATCCAAGCACATCAACTAAGGGATAAGGACTCCTGCTTCTAATGTGTCAGAGATGTTCATTAGCCCTGGAAATCAGGCTGAACTTAGGCTCAGAAGGCCTGGACTCAAATCCTTGGTGATCTTGTACAAATCATTTTGCCTCAGATCCCTAATGTGCAAAATGAGGGCATCATCCACACCCATGAGAGCCTGGGGTGAGGTTAATGCCCCAAGTGTCATAAAGACTGTTAGTCCCTGCTCATGTATCTTTGTTTTCTTGGTATTTACTACACACAGAAGCCCTTGTTAAGTGTCGATTAAATAAAAGGATGAAGTAAACTCTTCTTAATTAAATGTTGTGAGTTTGTGTGATGATAAATATTCTTTGCTATTTATCAGTTGCTACTATCTTTTCATGATGGACATGGGCACTATTCCCTTTATCCTGTGCTTGATTCCTTTGGGAAAATGCCTACAAAATCATCTCTGGACAAGAATTAGTAACAGGCAGGGTGACATATAATTCACTGTCCACACTGAGACACTTTGGGGAGTCAAAGGGTTATGCATAAGTGACGAGGCACTCTACAAACCCTGCACCATGCTGCTCGGAACTCTCTGGAGGCAGGAGTCCTCTGTAACCAACAGTCCCGGCTGCTCCTAGGCAGACCCTTGGAAAGGTACCCTATGTTCTTAGCACTATCCAACCCCAAGTGAAGCTATGTTCAGGCCAGTTTCCTAGTGTTTTTCCATTCCTCATTTCAACCTGCAGATGACCCTGATCCCTCCCTTTCATTTTCCCGAGAATGTTCTAGTGTTGATTTACACTGCCCCAAACATGAAGACTTATGACCCGGGGAAGCACGTGTCAGGTGAGCTGCAAACTGGCCATCTTCTGCTGCCTTTTAGCTCAAGGGCTTTTGCTTTTCCTCTCTGCAGTTTCAGCAGGCTTCTAACTGGTCTCTACTATTGCTCCTTCCCACCACTGCCCCGATCTCAATCAAGCAGCCAGGGGGATCCTGCAAAAACTAAGTTGGAGCATGTGTTTAATGTCTTCAGGGATAATGGCTTCCCATCTCACCCAAAGAAAAAGCCAAGGTCCTTAGAAGAGTCCACAGGGCCCCAGTCTCCTTAGCTCTTGCTCCCCTCTTTCGCCTTCTCTCCTAGGACTCTGCAGCCTTTGCTACCTTTGTTCCTCAAACACAGTAGGAACATTCCACCTCAGGGCATTTGCACCACTGCTTCTCTCCTTGGAACTTGAGCTTTCCCTTTAGAGATCCTTATGATTAGTTCCCTTGCCTCTTTCAGATCTTATCTCAATTCTTGTTCCCTGGCTAGCCTATGAAAAAAAACTCAGTCTCACACCTTGCCCCTTTATCTTCCCTTCCCTGCCTTTTCTCCTTAGCCTTTAGCAACACCAAACATCATAAAGATAAATATTTTACTTATATTATTTATTATCCAACCCCTGCAAGCTCCATGAGGGCAGGGACTTTCATTTGCTTTGTTCTTTGCCATCATTTCAATACTAAAACAACACCTGGCATAGAGCAGATGCTCAGTTAAATATTTGTTAAATGAATCAAGGACTGATTGAGAGGGAACATCGCATGCAGGCTGAATGTTTGTCTTCCGGACAGTCTGTGAATCTCCCCGTGTGCAGCATGGGTATAGCACACATGGTCTCCCACAGCAGTAGAGACGTTAAGTCTAATCTCCTGTGTAGACCACTAAACTCACCGCCAGGCCCATTTAAAATCTTGGTCAATGTGCAGCTCCTGTCACTCCTGTTCCATTGGCCATGGCATCATGGGTTCACAAAAGCCAAAGTAGCATCTACTCCCTTTGAGTCACAATTTACACACTCTTCCCAAATCATGTTTTTATCCTACCTCTCCTTGGGACTCTTCCTCCCTGAATCCAGGTTCCCCCAGAGAAAATGGCTGGGCTCTCTGCAACCACCCCCTTTACAGCCTGCTTGAAACTCTGAGCTTCTCCTCGTAATCTTCAGATGTCTGCCCCGTGGCCCTTTCACAATCTCCCCCATGAGCTGGGAAGGTTGGAAACAAAGGGCAGAGGGAGAGGAAGGCAGGGAAAAGCAGGCCTCCCATGCCCACCTGCCAGCTTTCTGTCTTTTCAGACTGATAGATAGGGGATAGTAATGGCCAGAGTTTCCATTCCCCCACCCTGGCACCCTCTGTCACTCAATTAAAAAAAGATAGAGGGAGAGGGCCTGGGGGAGGGGCAGGAGGCCCTGGTTATAAAGCCTGTCACTGAGGGACACAAGCACAAAGCCTGGCCAGCCAGGTCCTCTTTCCGTCATCCCCAGCCATACTTAGCTGCTGACAGCTGCTTGGGACTCTGCCGCCAGGCCCTGGCCCAGACCCGCAGCCTCTCCTCTCTCAGTAACTCCTGAACCACAGCCCCTCTATGGCCCAGAAAGAAGAGGCTGCTGCGGCTGCTGCACCGGCCTCCCAAAATGGGGAGGACCTGGACGACCTGGAGAACCCCGAGAAGCTGAAGGAGCTCATTGAGCTGCCGCCCTTTGAGATCGTCACAGGGTGAGACTTGGACATGGGCCTGGGTCCTCCTCCCTAGGAGATTTTAGGCGTGGGGCAGGCTATGGACAGTGAGTATGCAAGAGCAGAGGTCAGGGTTAGCCACAGCTCTGGGAGAAGGCACCTGTGTACCTGGCAGGGGTCTTCTGGGTGTCTTGGCCTCTTGGGCACCAGTTTGGGCTCTCTCAGGAGAAGGCAGAGGAACTCTTTGGAGGCAAGCACCCAAATATGAAACCGCCACTATGGCCTCCTGATATTGGGAGTCACCTGCCTTTCTGGAGAGAGGCTTATTCCCAAGAAGTTTGGTAAGACTTGCACATTTTAAGATGGTCCCAAAGTCATGTTCCCCCGCCCCCCCCCCCCCCCCCCCCCCCCCCACCTCATCTCTCTGCTCTGCTTCTGAGTAGGTCTCTCCTCTATGTTTATGTCTCTGGCACTTTCTTAGAGTTTCTCTCTGGAGTAGAAGATTTTAAGGCAGATCTATCCTTTTCCAAGGTTGAGTGAGAAACAGTTTTCACCTTATTAAGTCTCTTCTGAGTCTCCCCAGAGACTGTCTGCTCCCCTCCTAGGGAAGAAATCACAGCACAGATAACACAGGCCAGGGACTTCTGGACAGAGGAGCTGTTCCAATGAGCTCAGCTCAAGTGAGGCTGAGTAAAGTGTCTAGAGACTCCAGAGGGGAGCCATGTATAGGGTCCCTCTATCTTGTCGATTGTGCCACTTCTAAGAATAAAATCAAAGTGTCTTCCTCCTTTCCCCTCTCTTTCTATAGAGAAAGATCCTGCTGAATCTTTAAGAATCCTTAAGAAAGGAAAATGTGGGCCCACACTTTCTCCAGGTCCAGGATTTCCTTCACAGGGGGCTCCAGCACCATGCACAGGCAGAGTGGGCACCCCACTGAGAGAAGTTTCAGAAAGAATGGAGGCACCATGCCCTCAAGGGTGGGAGGAGCCCTGGGTGGTAATTTGAACTTGCTATTTGATGCTTGACAAGTGATTTTCCAGTCTTGGTTTTATCATTTCTAACTGGAGAAAGTTACGCTAGTTGACTTCTAGACCCCTTCTAGCTCAGATATTTTCTGATTTCTAAAGGAGCCTAAGGGAAAATGCAGCCTAGTTCCTGAAGTGTGAGTAGCCCTTGTACTTCCGTTTGCCCATGCTCAACCAGCTAATCGTACCCTCATCCTAGGATTAGGGGAGCAGCTGGGCACAGACTAATATAGACACAGGGAAAGCCTAGGGCAACCAGGCCAGGGGCGTCCTCAATTCCAGGGGCTCTTATGGAAGATCCTTTTTCTAACACCTCAGCATGCTAAGCCACGCTGTCTTTGCTCACACACACCCCACTGCATGCAGCACTGTGCTCTCCCTAGCACAGGAGCTAAATTAGACTATTGAATTGAACATGCTCTGGGTCCCGTGGAAGTGGGTCCTGAGGGTTAAGTCCTCTGATGTAACTGACATTTGTCAGGGCTTTAAAATCACTCATGCTTTCAAGTGAATGAGCTCATTCAAATCCTCAGCAGATGCTAGGAGAGGGAGATTGATTACTGCCCCTTACAGCAGGGGAAACTGAGACTCAGGGAGACTTTGTGACATGTTCAAGACCACAGAACCAGGAAGTGGCAGATCTTCTGACCACCAGTCAAGTTTCTTGGCCACTGGTCTCTTTTTACTTGATTTCATTTTTTGCCACTTGTCTCCTATCATCCTGGGTCCATCTGCAAGGTAGTGAGGGTCAGAGGCTTCCCATGACCCAAGGCTCAGAGAAACAGGCAAAGCAGGCAGCTTTCTGCATACTCTGAGCGCACTTCAGGTGGAAGGTGGAGCCTGAGTCTTTTCTGGCCATAAGCAACAGCTGTGGAGATCTGTTTCCTTGGCCCCTCTGGGTAAACAGATGCTTAAAATAGCCCAGAGGTGGAGCTATGACTGTTGCTGGGACAGGGGGAGGAAACAGTTTTCCCTTCCACATGCCCAGAAATCCAAGGGACCAGCAAAGCCAGTCCTCTCCTAGCCTGGACTCCCATAGGGAATGGATCAAAATGCTCCCTATATTTTTGAGCTGGAAACCAGCAGAAGAGAGATGACTTTTCAGAGAATAGTCCGAAAAAGGGGGTAGCTGGTAAGGATAAGAGATGACTGCAGTGCTTCAGGTTGAATAAGGTGCTCAGGATGAAGCAGACCTAAGTACATTAATAAAGCAACATGGTGGAATGTGCTGGAAAAAAGGCCTAAAACTGCAATGAAGCTAGCTCCTATTGGCTTGAAAGGTGATCATGTGTATCTTTTCCCTATTCTATGTTCAGTGACTTCTCCATAGCAGAAGTATTTACATTACAAAAATCAGAAAAGGTTAGAAATCGGGGTTGTTGTTTTTTTTCTTTCTTTCTTCCAGAGTTGAGTGTTAAATATTTAGCAGTACACCACTCCAACTGCTAGAAGTGAGAGGAAGTGAAGAAAAAGGAAAGGTTTGGAAATGTAGGAGATGGAGCTCTAGGACAGGCATGGTGGCACACACCTGGAATCCCAGAGCTTTGGTTGTGGCAGGAAGATCACAAGTGGCAATTTAGTGAGAATGTGATTCATAAAAAAAAAAAAAAAAAAAAAAAAAAAAAAAAAAGCTCAGTGGTAGGAGCACCCCTGGGTTCAAGCCACAGTACCACAAAAATAAATTAATTACAACGAAGCTCTAAAAGACATGATTTGAGCCTGGAAAAGGCACTGTCCATCAATACTAGCTTTAATTTATTGAGATTCTACCATTGTTCACAATCTAAAAGGCTAGATAATCTTTCAGATAAGGAAGCTAAACCTTAGAGGGCTAGGTAATTTGCCCAGCTAGTAGAAGGGCAAGAACCCCAGGATTGTCTGATTCCAAAGCATCCCACCACAACCGAAGCCATAAAGAGGATTACTTTACATTCACAAATATTTCCTGAGTAGGAATTGCTATTTACAGCCCATTTTTCCCCAATAGTAATATTTACCCCACAGGGGGCAGGGACTTTGTCTTTTTCTGCTTTATCCTTAGCACCTGTCTCCTAATAGGTACCCAACACATATTTCCTGAATAAAGGAATGAACTAATGAATGAATATTTATTATGTATTAGTCTCTCTGCCAGATCTGTGATGGGGAATGAATTGGAGAAAGATCTTCTGGCAGAGAAAAGCTCAGGATGTCTGGGGACCTGGTGGTGCTGGGTTTAGATGAGAATTCTCTGGGTGCATGCCTAGCTCTGCCTGCAGGAAGCTTAGGGGTGCTCTGAGGCACCATGGTAGGTTGTCTCCCCATCTCCCCATCCCAGCAAGGAGTGACTGGCAGCACCCTGCTAGTTGTATTGTGTATGTTTTTGCAAAAAGCAAAATCTATCATCAATGGGATTATTACACAACAGAGATAAGTGGCAGATGGAGTGGGTCTTCTTTCAACCACTTCTTGAGCTACCAGGAATTTCCTGTGGCCAAATGAGGGATAGAGAGAAGAGGCAGCGTCTAGAGAAGGATGCCTCTGGAGCATGATGGGTGAAGAAGACAGCCCACCGACTGCCACCCTGGCCTGCATGGAGGGTTGGTAGGAGGTCAAAGCTATGTGCAAATATGGTACCTCCTGGGGAGAAGGGCTTGCCTGGGGCAGATCCTCATCCAGTCCTGCGAATCTACAGCTCCCTCCTCAGCTCTGTAACCCTCTGCCTCTGCGCCACACTCCTCTCCCTGACTAGGCTTACTCCTTGGCATCCACTTTGAAAGTACTCTGAAAAAGAAGGCAACCGAAGAAAAGAGCAAGGCTACATCTTCCACACAGGTCACTGGCAGGTCTAGTGAGGGAAAGCTGAAATGAGTCAATGTTCAATCCCTTGTGAGTAGGTTTTCCACTTAGAGAGTTGTCTGGAAGCAAACGTTTCATTTCAGACCATCTTCTACTGCCCTCCAGGTTGCCCCTTTTCATAGTACAAATTTCTACTTTGGAAATGCAAACCTTTAAAATGCAAACCTGAGAAAAAGACGTACTCACAGCTCTTCTCCCTCCTTCAAGCAGACCATCTTCCCAATTCTTGCTAGATATTAGGATTCTGGGTTTCCCTCTTAGATAATTATGATGCCCATGGCCTTGTATGCAGAAAACATGAGAAAACGATGCCTAAATTAAGTGCTGCCTGAAGCTGCAGGAAGAAAACAGGAATCATATAATGGTGGTTTCTGTTCCTGAAGAAGGGACTGAATGCAGAGGGAGGGAGATCTACTACCATCATCTCTCGGTCACACCACTCCAACACACATGTGCATGCACACACACACACACACACACACAGAGATAGAATGCACCCCCTGCACACACACACTCCTTTAATAGTGAAATTATCTGCTGGGGTTCTAAAAAAAAAGGTGTAAGTAGATATAATGCCTAGGCATATCATGTTTTTAGAAAACACCGTTTGTGATTAAGAAGGTAGGTGTCACTATGTCCTTTCTTCCACCAGTGGGCATAATAGCGTTGACTTATCTTGTGATTCCACAAAATCAACTGAGGTGGCCATGCTATCCAGCTTGCTGCAGAAATGTCAGACCTCCACTACCTCTGTTCTCCTGGATTCCCTCCAGGACCTGGCTGTTTTAGTCTGCGGGAAGCCCAGAGTACCTCACTTGACCCTCATGCTCCTTCTGGAAGACCAAGAAGCCCATCGAGATGCCAAGCAAGCTCAGTCTCTGGGCAAGCCCAAAGGAAAGACTAAAAGCCAAATCTTCCCTGCCTTTCCTTTGCCCATTGAAAGCTCTTCTCCTCCAGCACCTCTTCCAGAGGGCCCCGCTGAGGGACAGAACCAGCTCTGGGGCTGCTGGCCAGAGGGGTCAGAAAACGATATTTATAGAGAGATGACCTTTCTTCTCCCTGCTTGGGTTTCAGGTTTCTGATTCTTCTCCTCTTGCCCAGGGAAGAGGTAGGGAAAATGTCAGAACTTTAGTGGGGCAGAAAGAAGCAGGCTTCTCACAACTACCCAGCCAAACTTGCAGTTGTATGCAGCCAAATTCATACTTCTGGCTGAACTACACTTAGCAAAGGTGGAACAATGCTTTGGGAGGTTCCAGAAGAAACCTGAGGGACCTCATAGGTAGCTACTGCTGAAGTCCCCAAGTAATGATGAATATTTCCAAGGATTTCCACTGGAGAATCTATCATACAGGTGGCTCTGCATTGACCTGGAGAAGGGAGGGTGGCCTGGCAAAAGATCTTGAGGAATAAAACAAGGGTTTGGGCTAAAAAGATGAGTTCTGTACTTCTCAGGAGCAAAATCTACTCCAGAGAGTGATGGGACCCCTGAGCAACTTGTAGAATTCAGGAGCAGGCAGGTGGAGTAACTAGGAAGAGCTTGGGATAAGTGAATTTTCAGCAGGGACTGAAAGAGGAGAGAGGAAACATCAGGTGATCTATTCTGCTAAAATGTTAAGTAAATAATAAACACCTGCAACTAGGGACACAGGGGCTTAGAGAGCTAAGTATAGTACTTGAAGGGAATGTGGGGCTGGGTCCTCAAACACATTCATCTCCACAGTGGAAACTTAACCTGACAGCAAGAGACATGGAAACTTGTGTAGAAAAAATTTGGTGATGGAGTGGGGGCAGGAAATCCTGCAAGGAAACAACTCAGGTCAGCTCTTGGCATCTGCTGTTACCCTTAAGCAGCCAAGGCTCTGGGATACCAGGGATTCCCCTGTAGCCCAGGGAGTCTGGTGACCTTTCTGGGGAATAAGAAAGGGTGGAGACAGGGCATGTGAGTTAGTGATGCCACAGTTATCTTCTCGGGAAGGCACAAAGATTACTTGTTTGGCTATGCTGAGCATGGAGGGAACCTAGGGCCTTGTGCATGGTAGGGAAGTGCTCTGCCCTGAGCTACATCCCCAGCTCTGAGATTATACTTTTAAAAAGAAATACATTCGGCGTTTCTAGTTGGTACTCACCCCTCCTTTACTTCTGAAAATCAATCCCTCCTATTAAAACCTCCTCATTCTCCTTGACCTTCACACCTGCACAGATTTTTCCTATTTTAGAAAAACACACACATAAACAGAAATACAAAAACTATCAACTCTGACGCCCTCTGTAGCTCTTCTCCTATTTTGTCTCCTTCTTACTATTAAAAACCTGGCCTTTTCCTAATTTTCTAATCATCCTTCTCCTCTTTGAAGCCACTGGACACCTGAACTCCTTGTCACTAAGTTTGGTGTCCTAAGACGATTAGTCACTTTTTCACCCCAGCTACACTCCATTGGCCATAGTAACCTGCTGTGGATGTCACTTTTAAATGCTTTTCTACAAAAAAACTGGTAACAGTTCTCTGCTGCCTCCTGATTGAATCAACGTGAAAGTTTTAATACCATAGGTTCTCTAGTCTACCTCTCCACTTTTAGCAGTTTTCTAATGCTCTCAGCTCTTTTATTTTTGCCTTCTTGGGCCAGCTAGAATCCAGCTGCTGGACTATAAGCATCTGGATGGCAGTGGCTACATCTTTCATGACTCTGAAATGACTCAATATTACACACAAGCTTGCTTATCCCAAGGTATCCTTGGGCAGTCTTGTCTCACAGGTAGCAATTCTCACACAGACCATGTGACAATCCTTTCACCTGAAGGAAAAGACAGACTTGAGAAACTGTCTACAAGCATACTACAAGACCTAGGCCATTCCGCGCTCAAAATGCAATTTACATGAGCTACAAGGAGAAATGAAAGCATGAAATGCTTTGCAAAATCTTTGTCTTGCTCTGTCATGAGAAATTTAACACACTTGCTACTTGGTAAAATTGCTATTTGAGCATTGCTTGTCAATCCTAGACACACATTAGAATTCTCTAGAGAGTTTTAAAAAAATACTGATGCCTGGGACTTTTCTCTAGACATTCTGATTTAATTGATTTGGTGTGGGACCCAGGCTTAGTCCTCCTTGTGACTTGAAGGTATAGCCAGATTAAGGGTTCACTGATTTAGGATGTGCTGTTTAGATGGTGGAAAGTGTTGAGGATCCTTCCTAGTGAGGTGACCAGAACACAAACCCAATCCAAATTCTCTCCCTCCCTCCAGGTAAACACTTCTGGGTTCTTTCATGCCTTTTTATGACTGTCATTAGCATAGGCAAGACCTATTTTTAGTAAGAGTGGATGTCTTGGAGATCTACCTACTCTAGGCTGGGTCTAGACACAAGAACTCATCATTCTCTCTCTCCTTCCCTGTCCCTTTGTCTCCTTTACCTACAGGGAGCGGCTGCCTGTCAACTTCTTTAAGTTTCAGTTCCGGAATGTGGAGTACAGTTCTGGGCGGAACAAGACCTTCCTCTGCTATGTGGTTGAAGCGCAGGGCAAGGGAGGCCAAGTCCAGGCATCTCGGGGATACCTAGAGGATGAGCATGCAGCTGCCCACGCAGAGGAAGCCTTTTTCAACACCATCCTGCCCACCTTTGACCCGGCCTTGCGGTACAATGTCACCTGGTATGTGTCTTCTAGTCCCTGTGCAGCTTGCGCTGACCGCATTATCAAAACCCTTGGGAAGACCAAGAACCTGCGCCTGCTCATTCTGGTGGGGCGACTCTTCATGTGGGAAGAACCAGAGATCCAGACTGCTCTGAAGAAACTGAAGGAGGCTGGCTGCAAACTGCGTATCATGAAGCCCCAGGATTTTGAGTACATCTGGCAGAATTTTGTGGAGCAAGAAGAGGGTCAATCCAAGGCCTTCGAGCCCTGGGAGGACATTCAGGAGAACTTCCTATACTATGAGGAGAAGTTGGCAGACATCCTGAAGTAGGCAGCTGGGCTCGGCCTCATGTGAGTTCTCCTGGTTCCAGGGCACCATTTTTCCACCAACCGTTCACTTGAATAAGACGCGAAGTCAGGTAGAATGAGTGGCACAATGTTTAATCTGCATTGGAAGGATTGCACTTCTCTCCTTTTGGTTGGTTTTAGAACATTTTGTTTCATTTTCTCTTACCTCTGAATCTTTGTGCCAAAATCCTTTCCCTTTTCTATCCTTTTATTTCAAACTAACTTCCTATAACTTGGAAAACCAAGGTTGAAAGGGATCCTAAAGCTTTGACAAAACTTCAGTAAGATTTAGATGGCACAAGGGCCACTTACCGGACAACAGTAGAGAAGATAAGTCCCCCAAGCATGTCCCCTTGAGCATGTGTCCAGACTTACTCTGCTCCCAAGCTGTCTGCAATCTACACATTTGCTTTTCTCTAATGCAGGTTTTTCGTTCTTTAGGGGCAATTCTTTCATTTTTGGTAATTCTGAAATTCCCAAGTGGATTTGTAGTCAACTTTTGGTTTTGGCCAGACCTGCTTTTATGTTTTCAAGCAAATGGTTATGCTTTGAGGGAGATCAATAATTGCTGCATGAATGCCTAATGCAAGAACATTTTCCTTATTGAGAAGACCTCAGCATTGGAAAATGCTGAATGCAAGAAACTGGATAACACAGCCACAAACTTGTTTATACAGGAATGTTTAAAGGGTTAAAAAGATGTTTATAAATTAGGTGGCAGCTCAGAAGTAGCCTCCTACAGATATCAAGAGGTGATAGGAGAACTGGAAGTAAAGATTAGCTATTTAAGCAAATAATTAGGACACAATTAAGGCCAATTTGGCCTCTTGCTGAGGGTAAATTAGACTCTTACAGAAAAAGGCCAATTATCCTCAGGAAAGAGGGTAAAGGATCCTTTACTATCTTTTTTTAAATTTTGTCTGATCTAGTTTGCTCCCACAGAAATGCTATGACTGAACTGAGCCCCGTTACAAGGCCACAGTTACTGATCAAAACCTCTGATGATAGAGATGGGTATTTAACCCCCCTCATACTCAACTTTAATTCTCAAACAACTCCCATATTAATAAAACATGAAAGCAACATGTTTCTATTAATTCTTCTCTTTTTTTTTTTTTTTTTTGGTGATTCTCACTCCTAATACCCCTAAGAGAAGATGCTGCTTTATAGACACATTTAGGAAATATCAATGTTCTGGAGCTTGCTGTTGGCAGGTGTTTTCTATTAGACACACACATAGGGCACTTGCTCATTCTCAGGCTGAGTATTTGCAATTCCTGAAGACATGATTTTCAGTCATTTCTTAAAAAAGAAGGACTCAGTCTTTGAATTCAGTTGGGGAAAAGCATGAGGTAATCTGCTCACAGAAAATATGACACTTACTCTGGGTAGTGGTGAGCATCAAGAGACAGACTGCTGAGAGTGACCTTTTAAAACTTTCAAAATTCCTGAAACATTTTTTTAGTATAATTGGTATCACTATAATCATAAACCCAACATAGACTCTAAAGAGAAATGAAGAATAGTTTAATTTTAACCCTATTATCCTTTCTTAAATATTTTTCATGGGCCACTTCTAGCTACCTAACTAACAATCCTCAGGGATTTTGTTTTGATTTTTCAGGGATTTTTTTTCCATTAAAATTAAGCATTTTCAGGGGTAGTATGATTTTGGATAATTGAGGGTTGTAGCTCATACTGATTTAAGTCAAAAAATAAACCAGTTTGAAGAAAAAGTCCATTTCTAAGTCAGATTATTTAAAAATAGAGTATTACTGGGACATCGCCCACATTATAAGCCTCCTTCTTCAGCATACATATAAAACTATGCCCTCTAAGTCTACTACATGCTCCCCTGTCCTCTATTTAAATGCTCACAATCCTGAAGGAAATGCACCAAGTTTTTAAAAAGGCATGAAATAGAGTTGTAGTCTAAAAGCCCAAAAGAACAACCCAGCTTAATTAAAATCATCCCAAGAAATGAACATCTGTTAAATAAGATTTGCCTCTTAAAATCATCCCAAGAAATGAGCATTAGTTAAATAAAATTTGCCTCTTATCTCCTACTTCACCTTTTGGGAAAAAAAGTTTAACCATATATTTAACCAAGAGAAGAGTTAAAGATTTCTCTGGGCCTTTCCCTGCATAAATCACACCAAAACATGAATGAAAGAAACAAACCCAATCCTGGCTCAGCCAGGAACCACAGAAAACTATGGAGAAGAAATTCTGGATTCAGGGATTTGTTGGTACCTACAAGGCTCTCAGTAACAATCTGTTTTTTTCATGAAGGTCTGCATGCTGCCGTCAAGAGACAGTAGTGACATATATGCCATCTTGGACCTGCCTGTCTTCCTAATATGACCATCTGGAGCTGGACAACATCTGACATCAACTAATCGCACTGGACAAGGCCCTCAGAGGACTCAATACACTTCTCACTGCTATAATCCATTTAGGTTGTGCCCGTCTCTCTTATGCTGCTTTGGGGAAACAGGAAAGTGAACAACAAGGAGAGAAAAGCAACTACATATGGGCACCAGGCATCTGTGGGGCTGCAAGTCTTAATGACTCCCCATTGGAGCTGCTTAAGGCATAGGGCTTCAGACCCACAGTATAGATATTTGAAATACATCCAGAAATGCATTTTATGTTAAATTGGGCTGTTTTATTTTAAGAAAGAAAAACAGCAACACTAATAAAAGAAATAGTGTGGTTTTTCTGTGGCCTGATATTTTAAGGAACTTGTGCATCAGGAAGTTACCATGGACAGTAAGTCAATCAGGTGTAAGGACATCTTAGACCATGACATGAAAGGGAAGATTAAACCAGAACCTCCCAGACAACAGGAACTACCTTTCCCATGCACACTGCCCACCACGGTCTTGCCTCTCTTAAACTAATTTCTTCCGAGGTGACTTGTAAATGAGGGCTTTCCCCCTTCTCTGACAAAAGCATAGCAGAACGTGGAACAAAAAGCAGAGGAATGTTGTAAGATACCAACATCCCAATTGCCAGTGAATAAGCAGTTAGCTTCTTGATTAAGAGGAGGATGAAAGGCACTTCAACGTGTAGACACACACATCATGTAAGAGTATTCAATACATGATTCTTGATAGTGTTGGAAGAAGAATGTCAAAAGTCTTACTTCTTAAAAGGTTTGAGTCCTACATGGAAACAAAATTTCACATGTGAACTTCTGGGTGTTTGCCAAACTCCAACTGGGTTTCCAAGAATAATGTGTTCATTTTGATTATCAGGCCATGCCTCCTTTCCCCAGGCTTCAAGTGTGATAAGTCATCGGAATTTGACCCCAAGACTATCTGCAACTGACAAAACACTTTATCACATCCCTGCTGAGTCCCAGAATTCCACTTACAGCCAATCCTGGATGAGACTAGGTTTTGTTAAAAGAATCATGTCTCATAGTCCAAGAAAAAAATTAGCTGTAATCTTTTTAAAAGTAAAGGAAGACTAGAAAACCAATGTTTTGACCGAGTGTTAAGATTTATTTGCCTAGGAGTGGAGGTGTAGTCAGTGGTAGCCTAACATGCACAAGTCCCTGGTGTCAATCCCCAGCATCATAATGGAGTTGGGGAGACATGAAGATTTATTTTGCCTAGAGTTAAACAAAATACTTTAATTCTTCAAGTTTCTACTTATCACCCCACTTTCATTTTCAATTTTGTGCATTTAGATATCCTCTCCCCACTTTTCTCCCTTCAATTTTATTTTCTGTAGATAGAAAATAAGAAAAGCCTTGGTCTCTTTGCTGATGAACTTGCCCCTGCTCACCAACAACATGCAGAACTGTCTGCTCCAAAAAGAGATATGAAAGGGAAATACTTTTTAGCAACTGTTGCCTATCAGGCTGAAATGTGATAAGAACATAAGTCTAAAGTACGAAGATTATATTTAACCAGTACTTTTCTGGTGTTTCAGTAAGCCCCTTCTAAATTCCAGTTGTTCTTTGACACTTAGCAAAGGAGCAAGTCCTGACAAACCCAGCATTCATCTTTGGGAGAAAAATCAGTAACATGTCTGGCTGTTTTAACTCTGAGAACCACAGCTAAGAAGGGGAAAAAATATGCCTCCTGGCTTTCCCAATAGCTCCAATACCAAGCCATTGTTTAAATCCATGAACTTTATTCTTCCATTATGAAAGTTCAGACTTGACATCTGAACTTCAGAAAAAAAAAAAAAAGAATATTTACAGTGGTATTCTTGGGATCCCAGTTAGCTGCACATTTGAATTTTCTAGGGAAGTTAAAAACAAACTTGTCACCCCACCTTGCCAACAAATTAAAACTTTGTGAGAAAGTGCCTTTATAATTTTCAGAAGATTTCATAAGGACTTGGTTTAGATCACTGAGTTACTGCGTCTCTATTCTGTGTGAAGCACTCTACCAGGCACTCAACACATGCTGCTTCCTGTGTGTCATGATTAAATTCGGATATATTCCATCACAAAATCTATGCAGAGGATGAGTTCACCATGAGATTCAAAACCTGCCTTCCAACTGCACTGATCCATAGTTTTTGTCCACTCATGTTTCTTACCTTGATACTCTTCCCAGTGGTCCCTCCAACTCTGAAATTAAGTTATCAGCTTATTCTCTGCTACTCAAATCCAGAACAGATATGAGCACAGAACCTCATTGAACCCCAAGGAAAAGAGATTTATTTTTCCGTTTTGGTCACAAATTCCTTGTTAACAATGTAGAATTCAATTTTGTATTAACAAACAAAACATGATTCTCTCCTAGGATGAATTTCACCAAGAATAATGCCAAGTTAAGTGCACAAATGACAAAAGATGTACAAGTAATTTAAATGTTCAATCTTCCTGAAATTTCTCTTAAACGGCAAAGAAACAATCAATGTTGCCACCTAGTGGCCAGCCAACAAATCAGGTAGCATACTGGAACAAACAGAGGTCACAGGCCCAACTTTCTGGGTTCTGGGCCCAGTATCAGGCTGCAGACTTCTGACCTCCAGCAAAAAGCAGAGAAACATATCCCAAGCTATCCCTCCTCCAGAGTCCCAATCCAAATACTGGAATACAACAACCCAAGATTGGCCTATGACACAGAATATAAAGTGAAAATTTTCCGCTGCCCAATTTAAGGTCAGTTTGCTCAGTCCTATGGCCAAGTAGGAATGACACAGGAGAACATGAACACGTAGAAAGTGTTTGTCTCTCAGAGCGTATACACAGTAATTTTGATGTCTGTTGCCTCAAATACCTCCTCAATCATTGCAGATACATTTTCCCATTGCAGACGATCAAGACCACATCCAATCCTAAAAAACAAAGATAAAACATTTCCACTGGCTGTGATGAAGGCATCTAGGAGACTGCTCTTTCCCTTTTCCTTTGGGCTATATCCCCCCAAAGCAGTTATTTGGCCTTACACCTATAGGCAGCCATGGTCAGAGTTTGGAAATAATTCTTGCTGTGAAGTCACCCGAGACCATTCCTACACAGCTCAAACATCCAATAGCTGTCACTTCTCTTTGCCCATTAAGATACCACTTCCCAATTATTTCATGCTAGATTAAAAATGTGTAACTCTGCCATGATACAGGAGATTCACTATCCCATTACCTCTCTACTGATAAAAACTGGCTACGGATGGATATGAAAAGGTTGGCATTTTTCTTTTTTTCAAATACTGGGGATTGCACCTAGGGACACTTAACCACCGAAACACATCCCCAGCACTTTTCATTTTTTATTTTGAGACAGGGTTTCACTAAGTCGCAAGTCTCAAACTTGCAATCCTCCTGCCTCAGCCTCCTGAGTTGCTGAGATTATAGGCATGCGCCACCACACCCAGCTAGTATTTTCCAAATACATTCAAAATAATGTAATGTTAAGGAAAATGAAAAGGAGAAAGGGGACAAGGGACAGGACCTCTGCAAAAAAAAAAGGAGGTCAAGATGGAATGTTGGAAAATGCCGAAATGCTTGAAATCCAGGACTAAGGTCTTTGCAATACCCTGGTGAGAAACTTACATCACCTAGCACCTTTCATCCAAGATGTTACTTTATTGATCTTCAACATCCCTCAGGACAAGACGGGGTTAAAATTGCTAATTTCACATCATCATGTGATAATTAAGTCCCTGAAGAATTATGATAAAAAATAGTTTCAGATTCATAAGCCATGAGTATATTAAAGACCAGTATAAGATAAGGGACACTGTAGCACATGCAAAGTAACTTAAGACTTGCAATAAACCTGCATGCATGGTCAGCACTGATGCAAAACTACTACGGTAGTGGGGAAAAAAGAGGTAAGGACTACTTCCTGAAAAGGAAATAAAGGACATGTTGAATACCCACTGTCCTTCCCATAAGTCCCCAATATCTAAGAAGTTACATCAGGGACAAATCCTCTGGCTACCACTCATGCTGACCACAAATAAGCATGCAGTGTAAAAGGCAACGATAATCTACAATTTTCTTGACACAGGATTAATTGGTTTGGGAGACCACAAGTGGCCCAAGAAAGAAATCACAATTGCCATGGTCAGAGTTTGGAAATAATTCTTGCTGTGAAATTGATTCTTTAGTTTACTTGGCGAACAGGCTTCAAGAAAAGTATGCCAAGAATTCAATAAATGTGACTGAATGGAAATGGTTTCTCCCCTATAAGTAGGCTGAGGCAGGCGTGTGTTTTGATGTGGGTTTATACTGATTCATTCAACTCAAGCTAGAAAATGGCTATCCCTTGGCCTAAATCAGACAACTGGCTCACTGGTGATCATACAAAGTTTGGAAATTTGTCTCTTTAAATCTGTATTTTCAGTTAAACTTTGAAGTTGTTCATCTTTGACTAAAACAGTCAACCCCACCAATTAAATCTTCATTTAGGGCCCTGGATTTCCTTGCCTGGGCATGGAGAGATCCGTGACTCCATTCTTCAAACAATGGGACTTCATGGCCTCTAAGCTCTTCTGTAAATTTTCATAAGTTGGCTTGTGTGAAGCCCTTTTCTTTGTAATCTGAACACAAAGATTCACATTCTCATTAGCTCAAAATGAAAAAGCCATTTGATTCCTTTACATCCTAATAAAAGAATAAATGCATTTTATAGAATAATTAATCTAGAAAAGGAATAGCAAATGTCATACTACTCCTTCCACACTTTATAGGAGGTCCCCAGAAAAACTCACTAAAACTGGATTGAGAAACTCAGACTCCACCTTTGAAATCTTTCTTTTCCCAAGGAAACTCAAGAGATTGGTAAACTGTGTCTATTGTCAATTGTTTCTAAGCAAAGCAAATGAAAATCTTTGTGCCACTTCCAAAAGATAAGCTGCATACCTGTAACAAGGAAGAAGCCATACCACCTGAAAATTCCCTATTAAAAGTCTCTATTTAAATAGTAACTGTACTTGCTTGCTTTTATGTTTCTCTACCAAAGAATAGAGAGGAAATGGTAGTTTTCCAAAGTAAAAACACTGAAAATCACATCAGCTATAAGATCAGAATTCATCAACTAGGATATTTGCTCATTCAGATGCTGTCCAGATCAGGCATGTGGTGGGTTGGCTCTAAGCCACCCACCATCATCACTAAGGAAGCCACGTTCCCTCTGGGGGCAAAGGCATTTGGACAAGTGGAGAGTTCCTTATTCTACCAGCAGGCAAAAGAGGAGCTGGGTAATACTTGGCACTGCATCTGATATAGAAAAATAAGGAAAAAAAACC